TTCAAATTAGAAGCATGTTATTTCTTGTAGATTTCAGTTCTGGAAACATGATCTAAATGAGATGTTTGTGTGATTCGAATCACGTGAATCAGATCATTATAAATCATGATTCAAATCATGCTCTTTTATTTTTCTTACAAGGCCCATCATGTACCCATTTCGTACTCGGGGCCTTTTAAGGATCCATTTCGTACTCAAGGCACGTCAAAGACTATTTTAAGTGTTTGTCTTTGGTTAGTGTGATCTCTTAATAGTAACTGGAATCAAACTTTTCTGTCACATCTTGGACCATAATTTTATCAATTAGTCCTTGTATGTAGATGATGGACTGATAAAATTTTATTGACTGTTGATTACAATCCAACCCAATCTTAATGATCCAACCTAATATGTCATACATGTACAACTTTTCAAACACGAGTCACGTAAAGACAAAATACTTTCGTATAAATTATCGAGATGTCGAACATGTAAATGACTATTTCTCATCTATGTCTCTCTCTCTTTCACTAAACTCTCTCTTCACAAAATTATCTAAAACAATCACACGGTAAATATAAAATGAATGATAATGTTTTTCTATCAAGACCAATGTTATAAATACATATTTTTTTAACATTTTCTCTTTTAATATATGATCTCCATGAATTTCACCCATCGAATACTTATAGCATTTCTCTTCTAATTAATAAAATAAAAGTATATCACTTCAATAAATAAACAAATGATTAATATCTGAGGAGGACACAAATTTTCAATTAGTTATTAAAAACAACCATTTCCATAAAAAACATTTGTTTATGCAAGAAATTGAAAATAAAATAGAATTTTCTTCATAAGAAATTGGCAATTCAAAAACAATTTAATTTGATAGGAGTAGTTTTTTTTAAACAAAGAAGAATAGAAAAAAGCAATAGTGATGATCTCTAAAACGTTTCTGGAGAGACTCAAACTAACAAAACATTACTGAATCAATCCGATTGGTTACTTTCTCGTGACACGGATAGCGATCTCTATAACGTTTCTCCAGAGACTCACAGCCGTAGATGTTTCCTCCAATCAACGATTACTATCTCTCCATTTTATCTTCTCAAAACTCACAATTCCCGCTTTTCCCTCATTCACTATATATTACCCAAACACTTTCTTCCCTATCATCGCATCTCAATTTTACTTTCCCTCTTTCGACTTTCATTCAAAAGCATTTTCTCTCCATTTTCCTTCCGTTCGAAATGGCACGTACCAAACAAACCGCTCGCAAGTCCACCGGAGGCAAAGCTCCAAGGAAACAATTGGCAACAAAAGCCGCTAGGAAATCTGCTCCGGCGACCGGAGGTGTGAAAAAGCCTCACAGATTCCGTCCAGGAACTGTTGCTTTGAGGGAGATCAGGAAGTATCAGAAGAGCACCGAGCTTCTTATCAGGAAGCTTCCATTCCAGAGATTGGTACGAGAAATCGCTCAGGATTTCAAAACCGATCTACGATTCCAAAGCAGTGCTGTTTCTGCACTTCAAGAAGCTGCTGAAGCTTATCTCGTTGGTTTGTTTGAAGACACTAATCTTTGTGCAATTCATGCCAAGAGAGTTACCATTATGCCTAAGGATATCCAGCTTGCTCGCAGAATTAGAGGAGAGAGGGCTTAGTATTTGTTATATAGTTAGGTGTTGCTCTGTTATGGTTTACATGTTTAAATCCTTTGGGTTCGTTGCTGTAACATTTGCCTGTAACTTTTAGTGTTGAATGAATTTGATTATTGCCTAAGGATATTCATCATTCCCACGCTTAGCTCTTCTCTAACTGAATGACAATTAATCTCCTAATCGTTTATTCTATCATGAAAAACTGGATTGGTTGTAATGTGAATTACACTTTATTGCCCCAATATATAATCAGTAATTTAGTGCAATTAACTTCAAACAACTATTAAAGCTCACATGTTGCAATTGTCAATGTTATATACTCTGTCTATGATGATGATCTCAATATAATAAGTTATTTTTTGGTTCTCCATGATATAAGTGATTTTCTTAGAAAAAATCATTGATTTGAGTTAAACCTTATTTAATCAAGACATCTAACCAACTCTACATCAATATAGTCTTGCAATTGAAGTATTGAATATATGGGAAATAATATGCCACAATCACGACATGTCTTCAAGAGCTTGAAAACTTGGGTTGCAACATTAAAACTGATCATGGTAGATGCAAATAAGAACTAACTCAATTGTTAAGTACATGATGTAATGTTAGGCCTTGCAACATTCAAGTATAATAACTTATCAACAAATCTTATGTATAATGGGATATCAAGACTAGGGAAGCAAAAACCTTGATGCAATTTTGATTATGGACTACAAGGAGTGGATATATGCTTGAATATAACATTCATGAATCATTTAGCAAGTCCATGTAATATTTCCTTTCACATATTGATATCATGAATACATGTTCATAAGATTTGCAACAACTTCAAGATTCAATTGCAACACTTACTATTGCCTTCATAGATTTTAAATCTCAACAACATCTCCACTATGAATTCAATCTACTAAATTCCAACTCATAGACTTGAAATTAAACCACTAAAACTTACTCTTCAACCCTTCGATGACACTAATCCCATTGAATGGTTTCAAGCAGACCAATATTTCGCTCATTATATCGTAACTCCTCTTATTCATCTCCAAAATATTTTGTGTTATATGACAAGCTGAATTCAGATAGTACCAATAGATGCATAACAAACATTTGATTGCAACTTGGGAGAACTTTGTGTGTTCTTTGGAACTTCGACTTGGCCCCTATACATATAAATTATCATCACGCATTATTCAAGCTACAACAAACTACAACAAATTTGTAATTATCGAGAATTTGAGCATCCATGCAACTGTGTAGTTGGCTTGCCTACTCACTAAATCTTATATTGTTTTTGTTAAAATATATGAGACTAAGAGACATTTAAATAAATTATGTGTTGGATAACACAGCAGAAAATATATATATATATATATATATATATATATATATATATATATATATATATATATATATATATATATATATATATATATATATATATATATATATATATATATATATATATATATATATATATATATATATATATATATATATATATATATATATAATGGTCAACTTCACTACAGACCATATCAAACCGTTGTACTACAGTGTTGAATTTGCGAAACCAAACTCTCGGAAATTGCTTAAGACCACAAAGAGACTTGTGTAACCTATAGACTATATTCGAGGACTCCCCCTGAGCAACAAACCCAAGTGGTTGCTCCATTTATACTTTCTCTTCAAGATCACAATGTAAAAAGACATTTTTGTTATCAAGTTGATGAATATGCCAATGTCTAATGGCTGCAATGGCTAGGAGTCTAACAGATGCCATCTTGGCTACAGGCGAGATGTCACTATAATCTAACTCAAAAATCTGAGTGTGTCTTTTGGTTACCTAGCGAGCTTTAAAACGATCAATCTTACCATCTGGTCCAACCTTTACTAGATAAAGCCAACGACAACCTACTAAAGATCTCCTACTGGAAAGAGGAATCAGTTCCCAGGTACCACTGCTTTGAAGAGTACACATTTCATCAATCATTTCTTGCCTCCACTCGAGGTGAGATAATGATTCATCTGAAGATTTAGGAATAGAAATAGAAGACAAAGTAGACAAACAACTGCAAAGGAGAAAGACGATGATAACGTAAATCAATATAATGTGGAGAAGGATTTTGTGGTTGACGTATACATTTGCAAAGGGCAATCGAAAGATCAGACTCAGGTTGTAAGATCAGATCTGATGATGGCAAAGGCGTTAGAGGAGAATCTGCAATGACCTCATAGATAGGTACTGCTTTTTTTTTTCATGAACAATAGCGACAGGGTTCACCAAAAAAAAAATTGTGAATCGTGGCGTTGGTCGTCAGGGAATTTTTTTTTTTAAAGGTGGGGCAAAACAAATGATGACAAAGTTTGCAAAAGGAAATGTCTCACCGAAAGACAGTTGATCAACCGAGTAGCGTACGGTAAAAATTTATCTCTTATTAGACTCTAAATACCATGTTAAAATACGAATGACTAAGATATTTGAATAAATCGTGTATCGAATAACACAACATAAAATAATATACATAGAAAATTCATATCAACAATATTAATTACATATTAAATATATATTGATCTTATTCTAGAATAAAGAATATCAACAATTTTATTTCTCTTGTGCTACTTGACATGCAAAATGAATTAGCCATTCCGCATCCTATCTCTATTTTTAGAAGCCAGTAGTTTATTTAGAAAAATTGGTAGAGAGCAAACTCTCACCCTCAAGTCACACGTTAGCCTATGCCCCTCGCCAAAACCAATTCAGAGACCCTTACCAATTATCCTAAATAAACCCGGACACCATAAAATCGCATCCCGTTTCACTCCCAAGTAGAATTTTAACTCACCGTGTCATAAAGGTCATCGGTGTAAGAATATACAACTTTTTTCTTAATGTCACTCGATGAACCACCAAAACAATTCCTCTTGATGACTTAATTTTTCATACTAAACCACCACCACATATTCTATCTCAATTTCTCACTTATACAGAAAAAACACTAGCCGAACATGACCCTGACAAATTTCATCTTTCCTTACAAGTAGTTTCTAGACACTTATCAACACAAACACTCACATTTTACGCTACTGTAAAGGGTCATTCTGTGTCTGTTTGATTGACACGTGACATCATTCTACGGCATAATTCTGTTGGCAGTGGGATTCGATATTCAGAAATAAAAATTTTTTGACATAGTAACTAGAAAAGAAAGTAAGAAGAACATTCATGATTTAATTAATCTTTTACAGGAGCAAATAGATCAAACACACAACTGATGAGCCAATGTTACTAGAGAATAATAACATAATTAAAAGACTTGTGCCTAACCCTAACAGAACAACAATCCCTGTAATCAAATCTTAAGCCCTCTCTCCTCTGATTCTGCGAGCAAGTTGGATATCTTTAGGCATGATAGTAACTCTCTTGGCATGAATTGCACAAAGGTTTGTATCTTCAAACAAACCAACGAGATAAGCTTCAGCAGCTTCTTGAAGTGCAGAAACGGCGCTGCTCTGGAATCGTAGATCTGTTTTGAAATCCTGAGCAATTTCTCGTACCAATCTCTGGAACGGAAGTTTCCTGATCAGAAGCTCGGTGCTCTTCTGATACTTCCTGATCTCTCTCAGAGCAACTGTTCCTGGACGGAATCTGTGTGGCTTCTTCACTCCTCCGGTCGCCGGTGCAGATTTCCGGGCGGCTTTTGTGGCGAGCTGCTTCCTTGGAGCCTTGCCTCCGGTGGACTTGCGAGCGGTTTGTTTGGTGCGTGCCATTACGATCCGAAAGAAAATGATTTTACTTGTAAATCGAGAGAGGAGAAGGAAAATTGAGATGCAATGATAATGAATCAAGTGTTTGGGTAATATATAGTGAATGAGGGAAAAGCGGGAGTTCGGAATTTTTTTTGAAGAATTGACAAGGTTAGATTGTGACCATAGATTAGAGTTTATATCTACGGTTGTGTATCTCTAGGGGATGGGTATTGGGATCGCGATCCGTGGCATGTGAAATTATCCAATAGAATTATTTGCTAAACATTTTGTTATTGAGAGTTGGGACAGACGCTACAATAGTAGTATTATACTACTTCTTTAGCAAGTTCAATTAAATCTCGCAACCATGGGAGTGCAATTAAACTTTATAAAAGTTTTAATTAGCTAATGATACATAGCTACTAATATTTAAACCATCCAAAATATACAACTTGCATACACTATTTATTCATTATTAATGCATAAGAAAAAATTTTAACACCACACTATAGCCGTGATAAATTTGAAATCAAATCATTAATTAACTTGATTCATATAGTGAAAGTTATAATTGTGTTTTATTATTTTTAAGGGAATGAGAAAAATGTAAAATAAAATCCATAAATATGTAAAGTAAAAGCAACACTAAAAATAAAGTAAAAACAGTGCATTTAAAGAGATCTAAGGTACGAGAATTAATTATGTAAAGGTAAGGTGTTAGCACTCAATAAATCTGTGGTATTCCGCAGGAATCTCTTAAAGTATTTGTGTATTTTGATTAAAATTGATTTGTATGCAAGAAGATTAGGGTTTAAGGATCAAGCATGAAACAATGATGGTACAAAGAAACAACAAACATACAAGTCAAGACTAAAACATAATAAAATAGTTAACAAATACAATTTTTTCCGTTGAATTAAAACACAACCGTCAACAAAAATAATATTCATCAATAAATGACAAAGTGACCGAACATCAAGTAATCAACAAACGTCGAGCATGACTCATGGCATCAAAAGTAAAACAAGAATGATCGAACAAATAATAAAAAATGGAATATTTTGTTATTTTTTGTCAAAAATTAAAATAAAATAAAAACAAATAAAGAGGACAGAAATTATAAAAGGAGGGTGTGAGGTTCATGAAACAAACAAAATGCAGTTGAGTCTAAGTATTTAAAACAAGATTAAATTAAAAAAATAAAACGTAATTGGACTTAAGAAGGACCCGACCCAACCCGATAAATGATAATGACCAAATTTGAAACAAAAAACCTAAAACTAAATTGGCTATCACAAAACAAACATTAATAAAAATAAAATAAAACAATTAGCCAAATAAATTATCATTTAACAAAATAACATAAAAACAAATAAAGAGGACAAAAATTGTAAAAGAATGGTGTGAGGTTCATGAAACAAACAAAACGCAGTTGAGCCTAAGTATTTAAAACAAGATTAATTAAAAAAGTAAAACGTAATTGGGCTTAAGAAGGACCCGACCCAACCCGATAAATGATAATGACCAAATTTGAGACAAAAAAACCTAAAACTAAATTGGCCGCCGCATATCAAAAGTGGATTCCCCTGTTTCAAAATTTTATTTTTTTCACAATATTTCCCCTATTCACTTAACTCATGTGTTCCCTCTTTAGTTTTCTCTGCTTCAATTCTCTATTCTCTAATATCTAGTCATCGAACCACAAAGACAATCAACCTCCCACCTTTCTCTGCTTTGAAAAAACTTATGCCATCATCTCTCTCTCAATCGATCAAGCATGATAATAATACTTGCACATAAAACTCTCGGAGCTTCTCTGTTCTCACGATTATCTCACTTTAGAACAACAACCCAACTACTCCTCGTGAATCTCATGGTTTCTCTTCTCACGATTCAGAGCAACCACCACATACTTCATTTTCTCACGATTTTATTCGTTTACAACACCAAACAACAACAAATATGATAATACTTTCAGTTCTCACACAGCAAAACAAACAAACAACAATATTGAAACTCAAGGATTTGAACTCGCAATTTATTTCTATGTGTTGAGAATCTTTTTGTGAATTACGACAAAATTTAATATCAATTCATGAGGCAAAGAATAGTAGCAACCAAAACAAATTGTCTACAATAATAATAATAATAATAATAATATGTACAAAGATAATATAATAGAATAAGGTGAGCAAAAGTTGGAGGTTTGTTTACCAGGTTCGATCAAATGATCTACTCTGAGGGAAATAGCAGATCTCCGATTCACTATACTCAAAGTTGTTACAAGAGATTACATATGAGTTACAAGAAAATAGCCCTTGCCTTCAGGTTCCCAAGAACAACTTTGGAGGCGCCCAAGATTTACCTTATTTTCTACATAAGTGTTTCCCAACCTCTTCAAAGTTCAATATATGAATAACTCAAATACAAGGTGTAAACAAGTGTTTCTCAACCTCTTCAAACTCCAATATATGAATAACTTAAACCCAATGTGTAAACAAGTGTTTCTCAATTCCCAATAACCTTAGATAACTCCAAAGGTTTCCAAAATCTTTGCCTTTTTAAGGTTTTCCTTGAGAATAGTCAAAACCTTATTCTATGTCTTTAAGTCGTTGCTCTCTCTTGTTGTTGTAAGCTCTAAGATTGTCACACTATAATAAAAGAAGAGATACATATTTATAATAGCCAAAATTCAACTAATGTATAACAAATCCCGAAACATATCTCTTTAATTGTTAGAACAAAATATATTATTATAATTTTATAATTTTATAATACTCCCTCTGTCCCAAATTATAAGACGCTTTAGAGAAAAAAATTGTCTCAAATTATAAGTCACTTTACAATTCCAATGCAATATTAATGATATTTTTCCCAATATACCCTCTACTATTTGTTTGTCTTTCTTCTTTCAATTCTCTTAATTTCTCTTTCTTTTGTAATTAATGAAGGACAATAATGTAAAGTCATACACAATTTCCCTTTTCCATACAATAATAATTATTTTTCTTAATACGTGTAAAATGTCCAAAACGTCTTATAATTTGGGACGGAGGGAGTATCTCTCAAATATTATAAACATCTTATAATATCTCTTAGACTATTATAAATATATATCTTATAATATCTTTTAGAATATTATAAATACATATCTTATATATTATAATATCTTCTAGAATATTATAAATATCTTATAATATCTTTTTATATTAATTTATATGATCTCTAAATTAATATAAAATATTCTAACATTAATGAATGAATCAATGAACTTAATTGACTGAATTCAATACCTGTAAATCGTTCGGATCAAATTACTTTTCGGTTTTCTGATTTTTGACAATCTCGAAACATGTTTTCTTTCTATTCATCAATAAAGGTTTTAAGGCATATTTCAACAATATGGTTTCTCACTGCTCTCACAAAATCTCAGCATATCACACAACAACAACAATAATTTGAACAAGTGCAAATCTGAAACAGAAAGTTACCTACAGTGAGGAGACTTTCGTCAGGATTTGTTGAGGTAAGGGCTTGTGCGAGTCTAAAGTTTCTAATGTTTTGCTTCGATTGCAGATTTGATTCTGCATCGGTGTTTGGTTTTTTGTTGTTGCAGTGATGTTGTAATATTATGTGTCGTGATTCAGCGATGAAGGTATTATGGGTGCGTTGATGTATGGTGTTGGTGATAAGTTGTAAATGATAATGATGAAATCAAGGTTTCACAGTGTCGCGGTTTAGCTCATGGTGAGGTGTTGAGTTTCGATATGGAGTGAAGGTTTATGTATTGATGTTTGAGAGGTTTTAAAGGTGCATGGAATGAAACAGGCTGGTTTGATGGAGTTTGGAGTATGCATAACCTTGTAATAGAAGGTGCCCCACTGTGTGACGAAGTTAGTTCCCTCCATGTCTTCAGGCGCCAACTTGTTCTTATTATAACCCGAGAAGCCATCCATAAAAGAGAATACCTTGTGCCGAGCGGTGTTGTCGACTAAAACATCATTATGTGGTAGTGAGAAGTCATCCTTGGGACTTGCCCTGTTCAAATCCATGTAATTTATGCCCATACGTACCTTGCCGTCTTTCTTTGGCACCAGAACAACATTAGCAACCCATTAAGGATATGACGTTATTGCTAAGAACATTGTGCTGAATTGCTTCATAACCTCGGCTTTGATCTTTTCTGACATTTCAGGATGCATGCGACGAACCTTCTGTTTTATCGGAGCACAACCCTTTTTCATTGGCAGACGGTGAACCACAATGTCGGTATCAAGCCTTGGCATATCTTCGTATAACCAAGCAAAGATTTCAACACATTCATGCAACATCTAGATTAGTCTGCTCTTGACACTACTCTCTAAGTTGGCGCTGATCTTTACCTATTTCTTGTCTGTCTCGGCACCCAAGTTTACAACTTTGACCGATTCTTCATATGGTTGGATAGCCTTTTCTTCTTGTATTAAGAGTCTGACAAGTTCTATAGGTATTTCACAATCTTCCTCACCTTCGTCCTCGGCTTGGTAGATCAGATTTTCAAACTTATAAGCGGCAATAGTAGAATCGTTATCAATGAGGTCCATAGTGGATGAGGGTCTGCAATGTAGTGTGTGGGTGTGTGTAAGAACATGTAGTTGTTTTTAAAATGTAATAGAATAAAAGAAAGACAGGGATCACAAAATTTGTATGCAAAACATCCAATGTTTTTATTGAATGAGCAATGTTTATGAATTATCAACCCTTTAACAAATGAACTGTTGTGCCCCGGGTAAGGCACAAGGTTTAAAGTTATTGTTTATTACATAACCAAAATAAGAAAACAGAAAATGACATTTACTCTTGTCTAAAGGAGAAGAGATGACATCTTCATCCTTCTAATTGCAGAGCCCGTTGTCGATAGTGGGAAAATCTAATTGTCAGAGTTATTATCACCATTTTCTTCATCTGAACCAACATCAATAACATTCACACCCTTGTCATGTTTCAGAATCGGTGCGGTAATCACATATGAGGTCTCTGGA